AGATAGGAGTCTCACGGTCTCTCCTGCCCGGGCTGGCTTTGAACCGTGATCCTCAGATCTCAGCCTCCTGAGTAGCTAGGATTATAGGTGTGAGCCACCAGCGCCCGGCGAGAGAGAAATTTTTTAAGGATATCAGTACATATGACATAGCAACATTAATTTGTAAGCTTTTTTTGTGACATTTCTTTTTTTTTTTTTGCCAGTCTTGGAGCTTGAACTCAGGGCCTGGGCACTGTCTCTGAGCTTCTTTTGCTCAAGGGTAGCACTCTACCACTTGAGCTACAGTGCCACCTCCAGCTTTTACTGTGTATGTGGTACTGAGGAATTGAACCCAAGGCTTCATGCATTCTAGGCAAGCACTCTGCCACTAAACCACATTCCCAGCCCTTTTGTGACATTTCTATAGGTTTATTTTTTTCTTTTTTTTTTGACCTCCCAACTGTTCAGATAACTAGTAGTTATGTCATATCACCACTTACTCAGGGAGTTATTAAGTAAATGTATGGAGTAGGCTAACATGCTTTTAATAAATTGACTAAAACCTTAAATGGTACAAAAGGTTACTTTTGTTCACAAAAAGTCAATTGATGTTCCTGATTGAATTTCCTTCACTTGGATTAATAAAACCCAAATTCTTGTTTCTGCTACTCCTTGGGCTTTTGCCTTATTTGAGGAAGAAAGAAAAAGAAAAACATCAGTACATTCACTCTTTCAGAATCAGAATTCTGACATGAAATACTCATTCCTTGAAATGAACTTAGTCATATAATGTACTTCTTGCATAAGCAGCTATGAAGTCCAGTCTAGGCATTTGTTTGGCTATAGTCATGGGAAACACTGATATTGGTGACCAGCAAGGTTTTCTGCTATAGAATGTTTCTTATAACATTTGTTATATTGAGATAAAGTCTCTTGTGATACTATACCAGTCTTTTACAGGAGAGATCTGTATTTATATATTACTAATTTTAATAAAGTTAAATTTGGTTGCTTAGAAGTCATTTCTTTAAGTACCTGTCATAAAATGCCTATCATAGAGAAATAAGACATCTTGTTTTCTGCCCAATCTAGGTTGCTAGGATCCAACTTCAAATACAAGAAACACTACAAAAGCAGTATTCCCATCATTCTTCTGTGCAAGATGCAGTTTCTCAGCTGGATTCTGAGCTAATGGACATAACTAAGGTAATAAAAAAGCAAGTGGAGTTGTATAGTGGGTTACCTTTTTTCTCAAAATTACATGCTTTACATTTACTTTTTTTGGTTGTTGTTGGTTGTGGGGCTTGAACTCAGGGCCTGTGCACTGTCCCTGAGCCTCTTTGTGCTCAAGGCTAGCGCTCTACCACTTAAACCACAGTGTTGCTTACAGTTTTTGAATGGTTAGTTTGAGATAAGAGTCTCACGGGGACTTTGCTGCCCAGGCTGGCTTCAAACAGCAGTCCTCGGATCTCAGCCTTCTGAGCAGCTAGGATTACAGACATGAGCCACCTATACCTACTATTTGTTTTTATATCATAGAAAAGATTAATTTTTTTTTTTTGGGGTCCGGTCGTGGGGCCTGAACTCTGGGCCTGGGTGCTGTCCCTTAGCTCTTCAGCTCAAGGCTAGCGCTCTACCACTTGAGCCACAGCGCCACTTCCGGCTTTTTCTTTTTGCTTATGTGGTGCTAAGGAATCGAACCCAGGGCCTCTTGCATGCAAGGCAAGCGCTCTACCACTGAGCCACCTTCCCAGCCCCATAGAAAAGATTAATTTATCTCCACAAAATAAAAAAACTTCTGGGCACAGGTGGCTCACACCTATAATAGTAGCTACTTAGGTGGCTGAAATCTGAAGAGCGTGATTCAAAGCCAACCTGGCTAGGAAAGTCTGTGAGGCTTTTATCTCCAATTAACCACCAGAAAACCAGAAGTGGCATATGGCTCCAAGTAGTAACCTTGAGTAAGAGGATCTCAGGGACAGCGCCTAGGCCTTGAGTTTAAACCCCATGACCAACCACAAAAAAGAGAGAGCTGTTACATCTGACTCCCAGAAAAGACTGAGCTTTATCTAATAAGCCGATCACTATAAAGAACTTACTAGGTTCACATGGGAACTATGTTAAAAACTAACTTACGCTCTTGCTTCTTGCCCTGAAAAAAAGTATCTTTGCTTTGCTTTCTGTACCATTCCCTTCTTAGCAGTTCATTCTTCAATAATTCTTCTTAATGGAATTACTACTTTGAGATTTGTCTATTATGCCTGCTTTATACAATAATCCTGTAACAAATGTCATTAGCATCTCTTTCCTAGTCAGGAAAAAATGGCACATATACTGATAAAATGAATTTGAATGTATTTGCCCTACAGTCACCATCCTTAGAAGGTTGAGTCTCCTTAATCTGAAATGCTCTTTAATCCTAGTAGTCAGGATGCTGAGTCAGGATAACATTCATAGGTATAAAGGATATGGAAGTGAAAACTACACATTAGAATCCATCTTATCCCAGTCAAAATGGCAATTGTCAGCCGGGCGCTGGTGGCTCACGCCTGTAATCCTAGCTACTCAGGAGGCTGAGATCTGAGGATCGCGGTTCAAAGCCAGCT